AGCGGCTCCGTGGTCTGGGCCTCCCAGGCCTGGCGATGGCACATCAGCCGCTTGTGGGCTGCTTCCTGTGGGGCAGAGGTGGCGGAGGGTCTACCAGGCCTCTGTGCTACCCAGACAGGGCAGGCCCCGGGGCGCCAGCAACAGAGGGAGACTGGACCCTTTTCTGGGTGTCACCAGGGAACGACCCTAGAGCCCAGCCTTTATGGCAGTGGGGAGGGGTGTAGCTTGCAGAGAACAGGTGTGACATGGCTCACTTGAGGGCGCAAGGATCACCATGGGAAGAATGGCTCAACGGAGCCCCAAACAAAGGCCACAGTGTAGAGGCCTCCAGAGCCCCGGCCGCCAATGTGTGATGACGGCCACCACCACTGCTCCACCACCACTGTTCCTCCAGGAAGCCCCTGGCTTGGCCTCTACTGCAGCCGGCCCCTTCCCACCCTCTCCTGCCCGGGCCTTGAAGACCCGCTTTCCAAGTGGACCTTTTGCATAGTCCCAGCCCCAACATGGGGGGGAGGGAGTTGGGGACCTGACTACAGCCTCAGGTTCCCCAAGGCCTCGGGCTTCCCTGGGCCTGTGGGCCTCCTGTGGGCCTTGGGGGTCCAGGGCAGAGGTCTCATGACTGGCGAGCACAGGTGTCTGCTCAAGGTGATCTGCAGTGCTGCTGTGGGCAGGAGGGGGTGAACGAGTCGGCCTGTGGTTGTCCAGCCACTCACCTGCTCTCTGGAAGCCGAGAGGGACAGGACCTCCTGGAGGGAGTCCCCAGGGTGGCACTGCAGGATATCGGCCAGCATCTGCTTGGTACTGCAGGAAAACAGGGATGGCAGACAGGTGAGGGGCTGGGTAGAAATCTGGGTGAGTGAACACGGCCTCCGGGCGCAGCTGCCGGGGATACCCAGGGAGGCAGAGAGCAGGACAGGTGCGGGTGTTGCCTGATCCCCTCCTACAGGTACCCTGAGGCCGTCAGCGGAAGTATGCATGTGCTCCTCCCGCTCGGCACAGCTTCTCCTGAGCTCCGGGTGCACCTGACACACACCCCTCTCAGGCTTCGACCGGGCTCACTGCAGCCCCACCACTACGAGCCCCACGACGCAAGGCAGAGCTGCCAGTCGACCTGCTTACTGAGTGAGCGGAGGGGCAGAGGCACTCCTGTGGGGTGAGCCAGCAGGAGCCGGGTCCCTTGCCCGATGACCACTCGGCCCCGCCAGAGAGGTCCTTCTTTTGCAGAACCGGGGAAGCAAAGCTCTGTGTCCTCTCCCGACACCACGCTCGGCCAGAGCGAGGAGCGAGAACATGGAGCCCCCACCCACTGGCTGTGCGACTCTGGGCAAGTCACGGTATTCTGAGCTCTCCTTAACAGCGAGCGGGGAAGGCGCCGCCTACCTCACGGCTTACGCCTAGGAGTAAATGATGCCATATAAAAGAGCACCCTGTAAACACACAGCGACACACACCCGCTGGGGCCAGCGTCTTAACCATGCCTTTGCCTTCAAACTACCACGCAAGTCAAGGCTGTTTCCAGAGCGGACACTGTGGCAGGGAGTACCAGTCAGCGTCAGGGAGACCTTCTAAAGGGCGAGGGTGGAGCGGCCCTCAGCAAGGCTCTGTCCTGGGCCGCTGGGGAGCTGGGGAGTCCAGGCAGGCAGGCGTGGAGGCCAGCGTCACCCACCTCAGGAGCAGGCTCCGGGCACTGGTGTCGTCGGTGTCTGCCTCCAGCCCTTCAAACTTGCTGGTGAGGGTCAGGGACACTTCCAGCTTGCTCAGATCCACGTGCCCGTCTGCAGCCACGCTCTCCCCTAGGTGTGGTGAGGGAGGGGAAGCAGGCAGGTGCACACACGCACACAGGGATGGGTCACGGTGAGTGCTGCTCCCCGCCCCTCTTGGAAGTGTTCCCATGATGCCCCATGGCACACACTGTGCCCTCTACCCTGGGCACCAGGAGAGCTGCTGCCCGGAGCTGTGTCCCCAACACCCTCGTCCTGTGCCCTGGACTCTGCCATTCTGCTCTCCCACCCCGTGAGCCCTTTCCTCCTCGTTCCAGAAGCCTGAGACCTCCACGGGCCCTTACTCTGTGCATTTCTCTCACATATTTTTTTTCTTTTTAAAAATTTTGCTAGAGAGTGTGGAGAGAGCAGGACTGGAGTGTGGGGGTGTCCCCTGGCTGGAGAGAGACAGAGAGGGAAAGTGGGAAAGCACCTGTCCGGGGATCGGC